AACTGGCTCTGCAAATTCACATCCTTTGGCCTTTTGGAAGTAAATTCGATGAACATACTTGATCATCGTGTGTTTTGGAGGTTGATTATGTCAGTAAGTTATATTATTCTTACTTTATAACTCTTTTGGTTTGGTTCTTGTTGTATTAGCAACTGCAATGGGGTGCTCTGGACAGAAAGCTTTTCTACCTTTACTGGTGCTGGCAGGGACCGGAGCAGCTGCTATTGGAGTGGCAATTATGTCTTCTTCGGGCATGTTGGAGAAAACAATAGCTTTCTTAAAAAACCATCATCAGCAAGAAGTTCTTAAGGTACTTATATTGTGCTCTTTGATACTTTAAAATTTTTGAGCAATTTCTGTTCCTTTTTTTCACTTGTATGGATTACTGTGTTTTCATACTCATTGCTAATTTTGTTTAAACGAAAATGTTTTCCTTATATAAAGCTATTGCTACAGTGTCACGTTTGGTTGGAAGTGTATTCCGTCAGGGGGGGAAAAAAGCTGTGATATGTAACTTTTTCATCTAGTAGGCATAGGGTTAATGGTGAGTTTGTTTGGTTGCTCTTGACACCCAATTTTATTTTCTGATCATGTCTTAATTAGGTTGCCTATGGTGATGCACAAGAGGATAGAATCAGTCAACTGTCAGATGATCTTCTCTCCGAGATCCTTTCACGGCTGGACTTGATAGAAGCCATTAGGACTAGGATTTTAGCAAGAAGGTGGAACAATATTTGCCAAGTAAGGTCCAGGCTACTCCTTGATTGCCGCAAGATTTGTGGAGAGAGTCAGCGTATTCATACTGGCAGCCGTCGCCACAAGTATAGGTTCTTGAAAGCAGTAGATCAAACTTTACAGCTTTATTCTGGTCAAAAGATAGTTCATATTCATTTGATATGTTGTTTGGGAAACGAAGTTGCCCCTAGCTATGATAGATGGATGCAAACTATAGCCACTTTAGGCGTACAATCACTCCTCCTCAAGTTTTGTACTCCTATTTGTCATGATGAAAATGGTCCCTATAGCTCTGTGGACCTTTATCCTTTGCCTCTTCAGCTGCTGTTTGAAGCAACTTCATTGAAAATATTGAATTTATTAAACTGTGTCCTTCAACCAAGTTTCAAAGGCAAATTTAATTCCCTCCAGTATCTAAATATGATAAGTGTTCCTTTAGACAATGGAGAATTGCCTCACATTCTGGCTTCCTGTGTGAACCTTCTGCAGTTGTCATTGTGCAATTGTAAACTTCCTCCAAAGTTACGCATCTCTGGTCAGTGTCTTCAATTGCAGAGACTGCATGTTGAATTGTGCATTGGGGTGAAAGAGATAGATATCCATGCTGTCAACCTGTCTTTCTTTTACCTATATAGCGATAAAATGGTGGAATTGTCGCTTCATTATGTTCCCAAACTGAAAGACTTGTTAGTCAGTGGTAATGGCATTGGCGTAGTGCCTTATTTGTTTGGTCAAGTTGTAAAGGACTGTCCAGCGTTAGAACTTTTTATGCTCCAGACTAAAGCTAATGAGGTTCGTATGGACACCATCTATAATTGTTCTTCTTTGCTACATTTTTGCATGTTTAAATGCTGACACTTCTTCCCTTTGTTTGATTCAGCTAGGACACATGCCTGCCACGATCAATATGTTCAGAAACCTGAGGATGTTATATTTGTTGATGATATTTGAGTGTAAAGCGGATCTACAAAGTGTTGCCACTATTCTGGACGCATGCCCACTTTTAGAGAAACTGTATCTCCTGGTGAGTTCTAGCCTTTTGAAAACCCTGTAGTGGGAACTGCATCTCCCTTTGTTAGGGTCTGGTACTTCACTATATACTGCTTGTATAAAATTTTGAATCTGTAGAAGGAAAAGCACTGGTTGAAATTTGCAAAATTGAAGCGTGGTAGTTTCCTTGTGCTCAAAGAAAATATTATGAGTGTCGTGCTTCAGTTTTGGGATTTGCTTCTCTCTGTCTTGTGTTCTTAGTATTATTAAGTAGACCTCAGAAACTAATGATAAGATTTTGTAACAACATTTCAAATGGGTTACTGAACTTGATTCCACACTTTTTCATGATGAATTGTACCAACTTAGCACTCTGCATTGTGAAATGAGGCACTAGTTGTCGAGTAAAACTTCCTTGAGATATCTGTATATCACTATTAAGTGTATTCCCAATGTTAGGTAAATGATGTCAGTGTAAATATGTAGCCTTCAATTAGTATTTAGTGTTGTCGAAAACTAATCATTCCTGTCTCAATTGGTTTGCAGTTAGACTGTTACTGTTCTGTTAACCTAGAGAACCGATTTTTTCCCCCTTTCTTGCCAACTCTTTCTTTGCTGAAGTTGTTCTTGCTGGGGTTGGAAACTTGGCTTTGTTCCTACCTTTTCTGCTAAGTGTAATCTGTCTTAGGTCAAATCTTTTTTTTGGATGTGCATGTTTTAGTAGTTGGAAACTAATTATGGTTCTCAGGCTTCAAAACATACCACACAGCCTGAACAAAGATTGGGACCTTTAATGTACTCTATGTTGGGGGATGGCAACCTAAGGATGTCTACTTAAAAGAGCATGCACATGCGTGCACATCCTTTGGTATTTTATATGCTAAACATAATGCTTGTTTGTAGTTGCTGTTTATTTATTATCTTAGTGCATTCTCTTTATAAACACCGATGACTAGTGTTGAGATAATTTACTATCTTGCAAGCAAGCTATGCATTTGAGCTGACAAAAATGCAGAGAATTTATAAGAGCAACATCAGTTTTATAGGTTTTCAACGTTGACTTGGAGATTTAACTGACAACTGAAAGTGGTTGTCTTACCCATCTACCTTCTGTTTTCCACGCCCCCATCTGTTGGCAGGATAAGGTTCTTACTTGTACATGTCTCAGGTCTCAGCTTGTTCAAGATTGAAGTGATCATGAACTATTCTTGGAATTCTTTTCAAGGTTTTGTTTGAAACATTTATGTGCTGGAAAGTTGCTTAGCTTTACATGGAAACAATGTCTGTTTGATGCAGTGAATCTCTGAATGTCTGCTAGAACTAGGCAGATTGTGTTTGCAGAGTATTTGCTATGAAGCTAATCTTTTTGCTGCAGCAAATTAAATATGTGCACAACATTTTTGTTAGTTTGACACATAAATTAATGGGGTTATTTTCTTGTGGCTCCAGGCTAGATGGCCTGGTTTTAGTGAACATTTAGGAGGGGCATGGCCGGCAAGGCATTATGGTCACTTGAAAGAACTGGAATACAAAGGGTTTCATGGAACCGGTTGTGAGATTGAATTTGTTGTTTATTTGCTACAAAGTGCTCCGGCTTTGGATCGAGTGTTTATTGGCTCGGCGTACAGTACTTATTCTGCAGAATACAAATGGACACGGTACATAGATTATGTGATGGATGATGCGGAGCGCCAGCTGATCTATAAACAACTAGTGGAGCATGCCCTTTCTAGCAAAGTGCAGGTGATTTTTCGCAACTAGTGTGCACGGAACAATGTTACAAGTATGCCTCCTGGTGTATCACTATGCAACATAAAAAGGTCAAATCTCTTCCATTCAGGAGAGCTGCCTACCGAGTTATTTCTCCTCTACTGTTGTATTGTTGTTCCGGCATTCCCTGGTGTTGGTGAAGGTGATTGATTATCAATGCCCATGTTTGTAATTTACATGTGGCCAGCTAAGTGCTTTACTAAGGAGTCTCAATCCTTTGTAGCATAAGTTATTTTGTGATAGCAGCAGAGGATTCAGTAGAACTGAACTTCATAATGACTTTGGAGAGTTCATCAACCTTGATATGATCTAATAAGTACATGTTTGCAGTGTGATATTTACAAAAAAAAAAAAAAAAAAGTGTTCATGGTGCTGACATCTTGCTGCTTATTACATTTTAGTTACTAAAGATTTAAAGTCCATACCTTTTGCAAATTGGATCTTGCATGGATTAAGTTCCATTTAAAAGTCTTCTTCTTCTTCTACTGTTTCAATCCAACTTTTCCTCTTATCTTTGTCATTTTAACTGGTTTAACTTGTCTTTATTCGTTTTCATCTGTGGCTTTAACTCGTAAGGAAAAGAGAGAAGAGGGCAAAATAAAATAGCAAAACGACCTAATATTGTGTTTGAGTTTGATTCGTTTATTATACAATTGAATCTTTTTTTGAACGCAAATGAGTTGAACATGAATTCGTTCGTGAACTATTTGATTAGGTTCATGAGCACATATATAATTATATAAAAAAATAAGTAAATATAGATATAAATACGCTTGATAGTATTAAATATATGCATATATACCTTCTATTTTCCTTAAAAGGTATATACATGCATATATACCTTCTATTAAACAATGCCACCTCTTCCAATTCCTTAAAAATGTATCCTGATAGACTCAAAAAAAAAAAAAAAAAAAAGGATTGTGGCCAACAAGTACGCTAAAATACCACTTCCTGGTCTCACAAGTCATATTCTTAGCTCATGATTTTGTTTTGGGGTTCAATTAAATTAACATGATTTGCATTTGAATTAAATGTGCATTAATATTTGGAGCATTTCACTAGTTAATTGTTTTTGGGGTTCTCGTGTAATTGCTAGCCTTTCTCATCTTTCGGCTGCATGATTAGACCATCCATTACATATCTTTCTTAGCATTTTTCTCAGCCTTGCGCTTATCCCTCTCTTCTTGAAAATTGCTAAAGCTTTCCTCCAAAACTGCCAATTGAATCATAAATAGTTCTATATTTTTTTTTCATGTTATAGCAAACTGATTTGCTCCTTTTTTTAACTTTTTTAAGTTTGGAATAGTCTTCTGTTTCTTAGATCATTCCGTCTAGCTTTTGTTCCAAAATATTTAGGCCAATGGTTTTGGCAATCTATTAAATCATTCAAATAGTACACATATAATCTTATATTACTTGTTGATTAAGTCATAGCACTGAAAATATGCCTCAAAGTTTTATGCTATAATTGAAACTTAAAACAAAAAATTTGGTCTTACGTAAATCATAAGAATTGAAGGACAATTTTTTTAAGTCACCGGCATTCCGATGTTTATCTACTACTCACAAAGTAGTACAACCAAACAGGAATCATATATTCCAGATAGCACCTTCGAATTGAAGACCAAATGGTATATCAAACTTTCTCAATGATCTCAGCAATCCACTATTTTCACTGCTTAATAAAACTACAAAAATATAACCTCAAAGGTTTTGCAGCATAGGTAAACAGTACATTAAGAAATGGAACTATGTAGTGTCCAATTAGCCCCGCTTATACCACGTGTAGTCCACATTGACAAATACTTTGTCAAATACTTTGTCAATGTGGACATCAGCAGGAGGTGCCGCTGCCCACTTTTTAGCCAAGGCAGTGAGACTCTTGAAGAGCTTATCAGCACTTTCAAGAGTCTCACCACTCTTTTTAGTGAAAATTACAGCACCACAGATGGTAGCTGCAGCAGCCACGCCAAGTGCCATTGCCCCAAATATGACCCAGGGTAAGATGGCTTGGCCGTTTTCATTTTCCTTCTTGGATGCTTGGCCCGAACCCTTTGTTCTACCATGGCCTGAACTGTTCATTCTGGTCTCACCTGCTTCCGCATCATCGACAACACCTTCAAGTTCCAAAGGCACAGGCACAGACACATCATCTATGATCAGACACATCATCTATGAACGCCGGTTCATACTTTGAATAAAATAGACAATTAATGATGTCAATGACATGTATCTTAGAACCAGAAAGAACGAACTAGAAAGTTGCATGGTTACCTCTGCCATCAGATAATCAGCTTACTTTTTTGCAGCTACAGAAGTCCTAGAAACTGATAAAAAGAAAGAAAACCTGCAACCAATACACAACACCCATCAACAACTAGAGAAAAGGAAGAACATAGTACTAAAGCAAATATAATTTCACAGCCGCTATGCTTTGCTTCATATAACATAAGCAAATATAATAACATATTCGTCTACAGAAAAGGGCACTAAAATACTGATCCCCGTCCTCATATCTTTCTCTGCTATGCTCTGCTTCGCATTTGCAAAGAGGCAAATCACATGGACAGAATCAACAATGCAGTAAAATTGCTTCCGAAAACATCATTGATAAGTGCATTTCCTACATTATAACAAATAGGAAAGAAACAATCTAATAGCCTCAGTGTAACTTCGACTTGAACAAAATAGATCCACAATGATGAGAACATCAATGATTCTAGGAATACTTCTATCTGCAGTAATTCCCTATGCAGTTGCAGGAAATTTTTCCCACTGCAGGACACCAGGGTCTCCCCGAGTCACAAACCACCTAGAAGGGAATAATGTCATGCAACCAAATTTCGTGGTCAATACCTCAAAGCTCAATACTGATATATCCTCTCTTGACAGCAACCAGCAAAATATCAACAAGTATGTCATAAAAAATGAACAATATTTCTACTTGCCAAACCATCACAAATTTGCTGCATATTGATCATAATATTGATCACAAATTTGCCAAACCATCACTAATATTGATCATAGCACTGAGAAATGCACCTGTATCAACCACTAGTTAAATTTGCTGCATAAACAGTCTTCTACATCTAAAATTTGCTTCTTAATAAGTAATCAAACAACTCAAGCAAACATCACACACTTTGGCTCCATATTTTTACCATCATTATGCAGCAAAAACAATATTACTTGTTCGAAGAGAGCGAAAAACATGGCAGGAAAACCATAAATTTTCACAATTAAAAAAATATATATGTAAAATTCCACTTATAGAAATGATTCAAATCACCATAGAACACAAAACAAAAACACCAAATTCATGAAAACTAACATAAATTGAAAATTGACAACACAAATGGCATTCATCAATTTCCATAAATGGGTACACATTTCCCTTCCCCACCACCCTGATCCCTACAAGTCCCCTCATTTTAGATCCCTCTAAAGAAACCCGATCACCATAACCGCTGCTTACACTAACTCATACTACAAGCTGGCAACACATCTGTATTGAACAATAAATTGAAGCTACAAGCTACCCTTTTGTGCAGAAGATTATGCATCTATAGAAAATTCAGCATGCTATATCTCACGCTAAATTCAACTGTCACAAATTTTCCATGTTTGTAGTCAGTTTGACAATATTTCCATTGATAATCATGAACTAGTCCCTAGAGGTCAGATTCCACAGAAATAAACAATTCAAATGCCAAGTTCAAGCTAATGGACCTAACAAAACATCAAAATTGACACCTTTAATCCTGCACAGCTAGCACTTGTTAGCAAATTGCAGAAACACGTCTTCATAAAAACTACAAATGAGTGCCAACCAAAATGTTTTGTGAAGACTAGACTAATAATAGAATTCAAGTTAACAGAAAGAAAGATGTAAACAAAGTATCCTAATGTCTAATTTCTGGGCTATTTTTGTATAAGTACTAAAGTAATCAAGGAGCATCCTTAAGTTTACCAGAAAATATTGATTTCAATTTTTCGAATTATTAGATCAAACATATGAGAAGAATCAAAGTATTCATATGAACAAACATTCAATACAAAACAGAGCCACTGTCAATCTATGATACGAAAACCAACTGGCTATGAAAATATACCTCATAGTCCATAAGACCACACTTAAGTGCAGTACAACTGCAACAGTGGCAACTAAAGACTTCGGAAACTTAGAATATAGGCTGATGATCTAATAGCATAACCTAAATAAACAGAGTCACACTCAAACGTTGTCCATAAATACTAGACAACCCAAGGCTAATAATAGGAGAGCCAATCTGTTTTGAATTCATAAAGGAAAATATATATAAGCAAATATGTACAAACCAAAAAAAAACAAGGTAAAAGGCTAATAATATATAGGACCAAACTTTAAAATATAATCCAACAAATCGACGAAAATTTAAGTTAAAATCTTAAAACAGTAGCATGAACAGTTAATCATTTTGAATATGTTTTGAGTCTTAAAATTATATTTTTCCAAATTCAAGCAATCAGTCAAATTCCATTTATAAAGAACAAATGGTATCTTAATTCTTATGTAACTGATATTACTACTCCAACTTATGAGTGCTAGTAATCACCGGTTCATATTTGTATTCTAAGATTTATTAGGAATGGAGATCACTGATTTAATTTTCAATTTTTTTCATAAAAAATTTGTAAAAGCAAAGACATAGGTACACACCTAATCAACAAAAAATAACCACAGGAGTCTGAATTTGATAGCTCATGCACAACTACTTAATACATTGCTCAAACAAGCATAGAGACATATGGTAGTAATCTATCATGAGTTTACCTATATGAACATAAGAGACTACTAATTCTGAAATTTAAAGTAAATTTGTGCCAAATTCCATTAATACAATGACAATATGATAAATTGCCTACTAAATACAAAAATAATAGAGTAGTATCAATTCTATTGACAATTTCTAACTTTAAGAAACTACTGATAGAATCGTTGTATCGCATTCAAATATTTGTACAGTACATAGCAAGAAATAGAACTTTGGAACAATTTTGTACTAAACCTAATTTCATACACATGATCCAAGACCTAATTTCAACCATGGTTTTTCTACTAAACCTAAGCTCTTGTACTTGCATCGAAGGCCTAATTTCACCGCATCAATTTTGTTGAAAATAAATCAAACTTCATCAACTTATTAGGAAAACAAACAAACAAGATCATCGAAATGAAAAATCCGAAAACAAAATCATGAATTATGAGGAAATAACAAATTCCTACTTTACAAATTTACAGTGAGATACAATGTAAAGAAAAACAGTTCAAAATTCCAGAAAAAAAAACAGCAAAACAAGTAAAAAAGGATTGATAAAAAAATGAGCTTAAAAACCTGAAGAATCTCGATCCTTATCCAGATTTTGGAAAATTCTCAGAGCAAACAAAATTCCCAAGTGTCCACTGCAATGGTTTCAGTTCGAAGTCAAAGCTAAATTGGTCAAAGGAAAATTGAAAAACTCTCAGAGCTTGATACGGAGGGAAAATTGGAAAATGCTAAGAGGAAAAAGAGAGAGATTGAAAAAGGTTGATACGGCCATTGACACGGACGGAGAGGAAAAGATAAAACCGAAAATGAGACATTGAAAGAGGGAAGAAGAAATGCTTCCTATACGCTTTCTATTTTATCACCAGAGTTTCATGCGTTATTTCTATTTTTTGGTTTCCCCGGATTCTTAATTTCTATTTCGCTATTCTATTGTTGGATATATATTTCTTTTTTGATTTACCAAAGAAAATAAATATATCTGAATTTTTATGACTTGAATGGGGGTGGTAGTCACAAAAGGTTGCTAAATGACCTAGTTTTATCCCCTCTTACGTGACATGTTTAGTAGTGTCAATAAAAAGTTTTATATTTTTTACCCTTGTAATATTACAAGTCACAAACCACCTAGAAGAAAATAAAGGCATGCAACCAAATTTCATGCTCATAAAAAAAAAAAACTCAAAACACAATACTGATATATCCTCTCTTGACAGTTAGGGGGGTGCAAAATCAAAAAATTCCGATTTAACGATCGAATTCGAATTAAATTCGAAATTTTTGAAATCGGTAATTCGGAATTTGGCACTGAAATCAAAATTTTCGATTTCGAATTATGTGAATTTGGTTCGAATTCGGCAATGGAGTTTTTGAAATCGGATATTTTTGATTTCGAATTTCGTTTTATAACATATATATATTAATATTTATTTATTTATATATAATAATAATAATTTTTATTTCAATTTCATTTTATAATATGTATATTAATATATATTTATATATAATAATAATATTTTTTATAATATATGCAATATAAATTTTATATTATATAACAATACATCTAACAAAAAAGAAAAAAAAGGGAAAAAAGGTTTCCGAATTCCCAATTGAATTCGGAATCGAAATCGAAATCGGAATTGGTGAATTCGAAATTGAAATCGATCGGTAATTCTTATGCCAAAATTTCGAAAAATTCTGAATTCAAACTTTCGAATTACCAAATTCGAATTCGATGCACACCCCTATTGACAGCAATCAGCAAAATAACAAGAAGTACGTCATAAAAAATGAACAATATATTTCTACTTGCCAAACCATCACAAAGCCACTAATATTGATCACAGCACTGAGAAATGCACTTATATCAATCATTAGTTAAATTTGCTGCATAAACAGTCTTCTACATCTAAAATTTGCTTCTTTATAAGTAGTCAAAAAATTCAAGCAAACATCACACACTTTGGCTCCATATTAACGACAAAGGAATTATGTTCGCATGGTTTGGAAAGTTATACATATCCCTTTATAGTTTGGACTAGAATGTCAAAACGATGAATTTTATATTTTATAACGGAGTCAACTAAAATATCAAAAGTTCTCCGGCTCTTTTTCATACTTATATGCATGCGTAATGAAAGCCTTAAACGGAAAATAATTTTTTTTCTTTATTTGAATCCCTATGTATATACCTAACGGATCACGACAGTCAACTGAGGAAGATTTATAGTACCTTTGTAATCAACTTCTTTTCGTGCTGTCCGGAACAGAATTATAGCAATATTGGCTAATCTTATTATTTGCTTCTACCACAACCTGCTCAAATGCACCAATAATCCTATATATATGATCAGCAAAGTTGATATGGAAGGGAATGAATTTCTGAAACTTTATACATTCCGTTCAATCTTTTGATATATTACCTTGGTTGTACATTTCATTTTTTGGATGCCATCACTAGTGATCATATCTCCATTTTTGGTGATAAATTTGTGCTTTTCCTGCATTTCAATGGGTTTTCAGGGTACTATCAGACAATTCCGACTGTTCCACAAGGAATTAAGTAAGATTTGGATATGAATATACCTCAAGCTTTTTCAAAACATTGGGGTATATTTGGCTATAAAATACACAGCCCACATAATCCATTAAATCGTTTCTTGGTTTTGCCTCATTCCATCCATCCTTGCGCTTTTTCATCTCCTCCTTGAAAATCGCTACGGCTTTCTTCCGACACTATTACAACGCAAATGGTATCAAGAATTTACAATGATTAAACTGCAAATTGGACTAATTAAACTGGCAAGACGAAAAGGAATTTAAATACTGAATTGTCAAGAGTTAACAATATCCTCTTTTATGTGTAATACATAAAGCTGTTAGTGGTATTAACCATCGGCTGTTCTAATGGGGGCGGGGAGGGGCTGCTGCCCCCCAAGATTTCAAAAATCCATTTGTGGCCCTTAAAAATTATAGTAATTTTCATTTATACCCTAGTAGAAATTAGATTTTATTGCCGCAAATTTTATAAATCCTTCAACATTTCCTTAAAATGTTTCATCTCAATATTAGAATTTGCCCCACAAATTTTCTAAAATATACAAGAGTATTTTCTTAAAAGCACATCCTTCCTAATCTTGCGCCTAAAACCTTATTCTTAACCTCTAGTTCCGCCAGTGGTATTAACTCTCTTAAAAGAGCAGCGCATACTGCATATTGGATTAACAGTCATTGTTAGCATGTATAAGAACAAACAAGAAAACTACACAAGCTGACCCTGGAAAATTGATAATCTGACTGCTTAATCCTTTTACCACACTGGCGGAGATAGAAAAAATTCTCAATAGGGGCAAAAGTAATTCTAAGATTTTTTACCTACTCTTTTTCTAGTTTTTTAAACAAAAAAATATTCACGAACAAGTACAAATGATGCATATATTCCATGAAATATATAAAAAGACAAACTCAAAATTATTAATGTAATAATAATTTTATTTCAAAAAACAAACTAAACCATTTACAATTGCTCATGGCGAGTTTTCATATTTTGATAACGGTTTTTTTTTTATTTTGAATTTCATGAAATATATTTTTTTCAATGTAAATAACTAAACATTCATTCAAGTATCTCCCATTTTATTTCGTAACCGATTCTTCACTATATTCATAACTGAAAAAGCCCTTTCTACGGTAGTTATAGCAACAGACAAAATCAAAGCCAACTTTAGAAACATATAAACTAATGGATGCACAAAACTCCAGGGACACACTTAAAATTATATTAAAATTCTATGGGTACTCTAGAAATTTAAAGGCACAGTGGAGGCCCGTGCCCACACCATAGATCCGCCCCTGTTTTACCATCCCCTCAAATGGCTTATCAAGGGTTTCCAAATGGGCACCTCACCTGGCTGAAAGCCCACAAAATATTTACCGATGTTCTCAAAGGTGACCTGCAGGCAAAAAATGAAAGACAAAACACCAGAGGTCTAGATAATATATTCAGTGTTTTATATACGTGAATTCTTGGCAATCTTTGCATTAAACTTTTAGGCAACCTTTTTAGCTTCATTATATGCCACAATTCTGCCCTTTTGTGCCCATAATTATAGGGCAGCGACTACACGAGTCTGAACCATTGCAGCAATCCTGCGAAGAGCATCAGGTTGATTGATGACCTTAATTACAAGGCTTCTGACTCTAGCGTGTGATGGTCCTTCTACTGCTACGAGGGCATTGGCGCCCACAATTTCAACAGCAGGCCAGATCAAGCCAAAGTTTTCATCTGATTGGACTGCAAATTAGCTAGCTGCAGGAGAACAAGCAATGATGGATGGTTTACCGGAAAGATGTGTTCTGTACTTTCCTATTTGGTCACCGTACCTGACAGATTATCCATTGCAAAACAATATGTACCTTTTAGTTGTCCGATGATTTTCTAGTCAAAGATGTAACAAATTAAAAATTCCAATAGCTTAATCTTTTTTGTCAATTATGACAGTTTGACTTTTGTAAATCCTAAACTTAAACCCACAGGAAACCACCAATAGCTTAATCGATGTTGTGTAGTTTAAAAATCTAATTTCTACTAGTTTGCATGCCAAAACAAAATTAAATTGATCAACTTATTTTTTTTTTAAAAAAAAAAATTTCCAGTAGAGAAGTGGTGGAACTTAAGAAGTGGAGAGGAGATAAGGGGATTTGAATCCAAAACCTCTAATCCTAAGGCCTCAACCTAATTAACTTCACTTATCACCACACTTTATTATTATTATTTTTTTGTTGGTTTGCCATCTTCAAAACATGTTGGATTTGTAGTAATCACTCGTCTGGTGAAGTCTCATGTTCATAAGCGAAATCCTGGAATCAGATTTTAGCTTAGTAAGTTAATGAATATATTTACTTACCCAACAAAAAAAGAAAAGAAAAAAGTTAGTATAGATATATCATAGTGAAATTCCAGTGGCTTTAATTTGCTGGATGACTTAGCAACTGAAAAAACATGTAATTCATAAGGGCATGTCTAGTTATGCACTTTGGTATAACCCCCTCACTTGCATTTCTCATTCAGGATTCCCTGAAACATTTTCAGGAAGTAGTTTAGCTTCCTTCGAGTTCTCAATAATTTAGTTGGCTCCATCCCCGTCTTTCTCCTCCTCCCCCTAATATAGGATCAGTTGCAAAAATGTCGTACTAAAAACAAACGGAATGAATGGAAAAAAAAAGATATATCTTACTTCTTTCGTTTCGCATTAATATAGTCATCAAGGCGGAGAAGAACTTTGAAATAATAGAGAAAATGAAGCATTTCTCCAAGGAAAGGAAGCCCCATGGATCCAGGAGGAAGCTTGGTGCCACTACCGGAACACCGGAAACTTGTTGGTAGGGCATAGAAAATATCATTCCACCACCACAAAAGTGACACTATACCAATATCTATAGTTATTTCCATGTTCCACTAAAGTTTTGTTTTCTTCCTTTGTTAACCTTAATTGATGTGTAAGTAATGGGGCTTTGGATGTTCTCCTTATATATGAAAACCTCAAATGAAAGGACAAGTACTAGCAAAGATGCTTGTCAGATTATTCGACCAAGTAAATCAGCAAGAAGACAGATCATACTAGCTTCGGAGTGTATACAGATAAAATGTATCTATATAGAAGAGTATAGGTCGATCCAGTTGTGAAGAGCTCCCAAATCTAGATCTTCCAATAGGTTGAGAAATTGATTCTGTTTGTTACAGTCAATACTTGCATAAAATAGGTTGAGAAATTGGTTGTCTTTGATTCAAAAATTGTAACAAGAATTGTACAACATCCGTCAATATCAAGTCTAAAAAATTAATTAACGAAACACAGCATCAATATCTATCCGTACATGTCGGTAAGCTTTTGCATGTAGCAAGAAGAATGTT